TCAGACTAGATGATCATAATGGTCCCTTCTGACCTTAAAGTCTATGAGTCTATGAGTCTATGGATATTGGACAGAATTGGTCCAGGGAGCTGTCAGATGGTAAAGATACCTGACCTCCAGGGGGAAATGAAAATTTACTCAGGCCCCATGGTACATATATTCTGAATGGTGGGATCATAACGGTATGTAAACCAGCACAATGTGGTGGGACCACTTTGCCTTGGAAACCTGGGATGACAACCAGTGGCTGGAGAACTTCAGAATGAGGAAGCAGACTTCCATTGAGTTGTACAAGGAGTTTGCACCAAACCTCCAACACCATATCACTCTATTTGGGAAATGCACACCAGTACAGGAGCAAGTGGATATTACCCTTTAGAAGCTGGCAGCACCTGACAGCTACCAGTCAGTTGCCAATCAGTTCAGGTTTGGAAAGTCAACTGGTGGGGTGGTGGCTGTACAGGTTTACCAGGCTTTCTATACTGTAATCTACCCACAGGTAGTTGCCATTACCCAAGTGTCACAGGGTGTTCCACTCACCACTTGTTTGGCTCCTTCTCCTGGTCACTCTGGGAATTAGCTCCTTGAGGTTGACATGCCTTTCCGTGGTTATACACCATCACCCAATCTCTCACTCTGGTCTGCAGCTCCCCTTTCATCCCAGGACCTGCAGAGTCTGCTTCATGACTCAGCCTTACAGCTAGGTCACTCAGTGTCCCCCCCGCATTCCCCAGGGTAACATCCTTCAATTTCCTGTCACTCCCACAGTGACCTAGGCAGACTTCTTGTTCACTGCCCCACTAGTCTATGCCATGGCCTTGGTAGCTGGTAGGGGAACCTAGGCCCACCCAGTATTCCAGGTTTCAGTCCAGGGACCCTACAGAAAACAGTTATGGGCTTTCTTCTCCCAGCCCTCACTGCTCCTTCCCCAGACTGCTTCCTACAACTCCTGGTTTCCATCCTTGTTCTGAAACCCTCCTCCCCCTTCCCAGGGAGTGACTAAACTATCCCAGGACCACCACTTGTCTGTTGCCAACTTCCTGGCTTTATAGACCCTGCCTATTCCAGCACAGCTGAACCTGTTTGCAGTCAATTCCCTGTTCCCTGGCTCTTCTTCCAGGTGTAGCCTATGGAGTGAATAAGCCTACCTGGCCACCTTAACCCCTTCCAGTCCCATCTGGGATGGACACCCCATTACACCAAGTCCTTGAAATAATAACAGATTTTCAGAGGATGTTTTTTCCAAATTGTGGGGGAGGAGGCATTGACAGAACAAAACACACATCCCTGTACTTTGCCCAATAGAAGGGGCCAGTGAATACATGAACTGCAAAGGTGGTTTTCCAAGGCTTAGTGGACCACATGAACATGAACATTTGACACACAGGAAAGGTCCATGATGTCAAAGTCCTCAGAAGATCAGGGATGTATGGCTGGGGGGGGAGGAGAAAGGGACTTTATTCGCCCAAAACGATGTGACTATGTACAGTGTTTGTGCCAACACTTATTTTGGGGGACCCTACATATCCATTCCTACCATGGCTCATGAAGCCTTATCCTTATATCACCAACCCAAGAAAAAGGCAATTCAATCACTAATTGAGTAACTGCAGTATGGTGGGGGAAGTGCAACTTTGGGTGTTAGCAATCCTGCTGGGGTGTCTCTGGACCGGTTTAGATGCCAGTGTGGCCAACACCATTCTGATTATTGTGGAACACTGTGCTTTGCATAACATAGTTGAGGCTGAAGGGGAATACTTCCACACAACAACTGCTTTTCAAAACCAGTTCAGACAACTTTACTTCATTCATGTGCAAACTGCTCCTGGTTCCCAGAAGGCCAGGGAAATTTGTGATGCTGTGTGCTCACATACAATGGAAAACCAACAAGCCAGAAGGTGACTGGGACACTATTGTGACATTGAAAGGTTTCAGAGTAGCAGCCGTGTTAGTCTGTATCCGCAAAAAGAAGAACAGGAGGACTTGTGGCACCTTAGAGACTAACTACACAAATCTGACATCAGGAATCAAAATACTCAAAAACCAGTGGGAGAACACTTTAACCTGTCTGGTCATTCAGTGACAGACCTGCGGGTGGCTATATTACAACAGAAAAACTTCAAAAACAGACTCCAACGAGAAACTGCTGAGCTAGAATTGATATGCAAACTAGACACAATCAACTCCGGTTTGAATAAGGACTGGGAATGGCTGAGCCATTACAAACATTGAATCTATCTCCCCTTGTAAGTATTCTCACACTTGTTATCTAACTGTCTGTCTGTACTGGGCTAGCTTGATTATCACTTCAAAAGTTTTTTTTCTCTTAATTAATTGGCCTCTCAGAGGTGGTAAGACAACTCCCACCTGTTTATGCGTATGTGTGTATATATATCTCCTCAATATATGTTCCATTCTATATGCATCCGAAGAAGTGGGCTGTAGTCCACGAAAGCTTATGCTCTAATAAATTTGTTAGTCTCTAAGGTGCCACAAGTCCTCCTATTCTTCTTATTGTGACATTGTGTTTCTGCTTGACAAGCTCAAAAAAGCATTGCCACTCACCTCAGTTGTGAGAAACCTCAGTGGGTTTTGATCTCCTGCAGCTAATGTACTAACTGAGAGCAGACAATTGGAATACCTCCCAGAAACTTAACACCTTTGGCTGTGATTTTGTGCTATGGATACCTTTAATGCACTTTAATGCCATCATCGAGTAGTATTTTTGTTTCATGTCAACTGTTCTGTTTCAGGTTGGTTCATGGGGAGCACATAAACTTTGTTACAGTAATTAAAGAAACAGTTATGTAAGGATTTTGGAGGAACTTAACACATTCCCTCCTTACTATTCTGTCTGACACCATATCTCAGGGCTCTTATCAGATGATAGGCACAATGACTCCCATGACATGACTACTTCCATGATTGCCAGTAGTAACTATTGGTAGGGGTAGGAGAGTCATTAAGAGCTCAGTGTCACATATTTTCACTGTTACTTCTGTTTTCTTTGTATTCTCCCTTAGTTATCAACAAAGACAAAGATGTTTCATTTAACTTTGTCATCTGGTTTCCATTGTGGTGCTTTGGACAGCAACAGTTATTTCACAGCATACCTCTTTGCATGAACCCACTAACCTCTTTGGTACTCGCCTCATTCTCCCCCTCCCCGCCCTTCCCCTCCCCACCCACACACACATGGTTGTGGGGAAGGGCTTGTGGGAAGAATGTTAGTATTTCCATAGCACTGGCTTTTACAGAAATCACATGTACTGTGAATTATGCTACCTCATTCCAAACTTCAGGGAAGCATCATATTGATCATGCTTGAAAAAAAAAAAAAAGTAGCACACACAAGTGAAGTGAACAGTAACTTCTATGCACATACATGAAACAGGGCTAGATTCATTTCTAACAGGAACAAATGAGCAAAATTGCAAAATTCTCTCAGAAATGGGCAAAGGTTACTTTCTGGGAAGATGTCTCCTCACACTTCCCTCCCCCTGAGAAGGTGGGAATGCCCACAGAATATTGTGTGGGGTGACAAATGGGGATTTCTCCTGAGTGGGGTTTGAGAGTTGAGTATAGACTGGGCTACAGGGACAGGATGGGGATCATTGTTCCCCTTCCCCGTGATCTGGAGAACTTTTGTCCACTCGTCAGTGACGCACATTCCAGACTTCTATGTGCAATCACAAAAAATGTAGGTGCAAATACATGAACTTTGAAAACACCCCTTTGAAATAAAATCAGCCTCTTGGGACCAATTCTTTCTCTTGGATACATACATCTCTAGTTTGAAGTTAGTTTGGCACTTTGACTCACATTAGTTAGAAGGATGACACTGTGCAGCAAACAGTTGACTATCTCATTCTGTGTTCATCTGAGATAGTCAGGCTTCTTCCTATTTATGTGGGAAAATATATTATATGGAAAAAATGTTGATTGTGAGGCTACAGCAGAGCTTTCCTCTATAAAAGCAATTTTGGAGTGGGGAGTCTCCTATGAAAATAAAAAAGTACTTTAAAATGAAAATAAGAAACAACATTACTGTGTCCTTTCTCCAGACTTGATGCTACAAACAATATAGGTGAGTGGGGGGAGGTAAAAATTTATTAGAACCAAGAACAAACAATATACAGCTTTTTCTTATGGGTATCTAATGGAGATTATCATTATTATTCACTCTTTGCATTACAGTAATTCTTAAAGGACCCAGCTGATATCGAGGCCTCATTTTGTGAGGTACTGTACAAACACTAATGAGAAAGAGTCTGAAGAGCTTTCAGTTTAAATAGATTGGACAGATAAAGGTCAGAAAGGAAATCAAAGGCACAGGGAGGTGAAGTGTCTTGTCAAAGCATGTCAGTAGCATAGCTGCAAATAGAACCCAAATAGTCTCCTGAATTTTAGTTCAATGCCTTCACCAATAGAATATTCCACATGCCTGTAACCATGATGTCTGCCAGATGCAACTATCCTAGTGAAAATGAAGTTAGTGGGCCTGATCCACTCAAACCAATTCACTTCCAGTCATGTCAATGGAGTTACTCTTTATTTGCTCCCGTATGCATAAGACTAGGACACTTCCTTTGTCCTTGCAATGTAATCTTTGTCTTGCTTGCAGTAAATTACCTTATTTCATGAAATGGGGTATTATAATGTAGTAGGTACACATTTTAAAAGAGAAAAATAAAACATTGCACTTTCTGTACTGTGCATTAAGCTCAGAAGGATTTACTAACCTAGCACAAACAAAAATTTTTTTTCCATTATGTTATGGTCAAAATGATATGTTCCTTCCTTTACACAGCATAATGATCCTTTTAGCGTTAGCCTGCAAGTTAGACATCTAACATAAACACACCAGAGAAAGGCTTCACAGTTCCTTTGGCAGTTTCAGGACCTGGGGTGATTTTAGTATCTGAAGCTGAGGCATTCATGCTAAGTTTCCAGAGTTTGAGTTGAAAGGAAGGCTTGACACTGATTTTTCTTGTTCATAGAAAAATGGAGTGGTGGAGTCTACTACATCTTGCTCTCCTAAGGACAGTAAATACTTATACAAGCCTATGTTCCCAGCTCTGTGTCCTGGGTGCTTCTGGTTCTCTCCTTCTCAACCATAACTCAGCCAAAGATTCTTTGAGGACACTCGCAAGATTCCCCAAAGAGCCTGATGTGAATTGGAAAACACTGGTCCCTGTTGAAAGTTTGGGATTCTTTTTATTTGGAAAAAAAGGTTAGTATTTTCTTTGTGATCAGAATAAACTTACTGTATGAGTTCAGTAAAGAAACTAAAAATATTTGTATTTAATTGAGTTTGTTTTAGAGCTAAAGTTCTTCGCTAACAACATTGCACAGAATATGAATTCTGCCACTCCTGGGAATAGTGGTGCTAAGTACACTTTAATGCTTTGCCTTGAGAGTTACCATTAGCTTCCTTTCCTTCTATGAATGGGCTCAAACCAAAATATCTACATTTGGGGAGGTTTGAATTCCAATCTGGATCTGAATTTAGGATCCCTGACCCATCTTTGCTTTATTTACAAAGTAGTGTAGTTGTAGTTCATGTGACATTTAAACCTATCACATTTCTGTGGACTACTGAAAGATGTATTGATAGAATCACGCTAGGCAAGCCAAGAGGTAAAGGTTACATTCCATAATTTGCAACTGCCAAAGGATGGTCAAAATGGCATTAGGGAGATAGATTCAGGCAAGCTGGCTTGGGGTGGTATACTTTATACTTCTTTGTCTAGCAAGGATCCAGCTGCCCCAGGGCAGGTGGCAATGACTTCTCCCATCACCTTCCACCAGAACTTCCCTCAGAGACTTGTAGGATCTCCAATTGTGAATGCTTCTGAAGGGAGATACTGAAACAGTGTGCTCTTGGCCAACACTGTTTACAGGCATCCTGACACAGGAGAAGGAACTACTTTGCCTTGCTCTTGTTGATCTCCTTGGAGACTGACCACTACGACCCCAGCAACAGAGAGAAAAGAACTGAGCATCTATGGAGGGTTGATCAATGAATGTGAAACTTTTCTTACCCACCTAAGATGCTCTGTAGATCCCCTTTACATTCTAGTGTCCAACTATCTTCAGGATCCCGCAACTTGAGGAGCTCCCACAACTCCCACAGAAGCTCAGCCACTCTGGAAACCAGCCTATTTATTTAAGGGCCTAAAGATAGATTTAGAACTAACCTTTAGACAGGACTTTGGAGCGGAGCCCGGAGCTGGAGCGCAGACCAGTAGGTTTTTGCCCAGAGCTGGAGTAGAGCCAGACTGGAGCAATTCAAAAATTTGATTGCTCCAAATCCCTGCCTTTAGATATCCAATTTTGAAAAGTTAGGACAAAACATTTATCACAGAAGACTTTACTTACTGGTTTCTTTTTTTTATTTCACAGTGTGTAAGATACATACAATGGACCAGATCCTCCTCTGCATCAGGGCAGCTTTACACCAATCCATTAGCCATAGAATTACCTCCCCCTGTGCTCTGTCTGGGCCATTAATGTGGGTGACTTCCTTTATGCTTTTCAGTGAGAGGGTTGCACTTTGATCTGCAGCAAATTCTGCTTGGGCATTGCTTGCACTGCAGGCTCTCTCAGGCAAGGGGGACTCCTCCCCACTGCCCTAGAGACACACTACTGCCTTCTGCTGAAGAAGACATAGAGGCTTCTTTGTCCCTTTCTGTCTCCCCACCCCTTCTTCAGAGTTTACCTCTGGGAACTCAGAGACATATTCCCTTTTGCTGTGGGTCACAAGATTAACACCTCTGGGCAGCGATATTATGTCATTTCCAACCAACAATCCACTAATAAATTCTTAAGAACTCCCAGATTCAAAGTATCCCTTAGACCTTTCCACTCTAATTCAATGTGGTTAAAGGCACTATGGTTTTAAACTACCACAGGCCAGGAATGTTACCTCTTCCCCTGGGATTATATCAACCTCCTCAGTCACATCTCTCCTGACTAGGTAAATCTGTGTTCCAGTATCTCTCCACCCTAGCACACTTTACCATTTACCTTGACCTGTTTATTAAACTATTTGTCTACCATCCTGGAGGTCAGATCTGACAAAATTACCTAGAACTCCCTCTGCCTTGGTAACAAAGAATCTGGTAGTTCTGTGAGTGTCCACTGGATAAGGGGCTGGAAACTCCAAGGGGATTCCCAGACGACTCAGGGGTTCGAGTATATCTGTCCCTAACCTACAAAGGGATGGCAGAGAGGATAGTGCTTGTGTTTCCTGTGACTGGGGAAGTCAGGGGACTGACCTCAGGCAGGGCCAGACAATGCTTCCTTGCACTAAGGTGAGGTGCCTTACAACCCTGGGTACTCCTAGGAAGTGTCACACCCCTTTTCCCCCTCATGCATCAAGTGTTCTTTATCCACAGCTGACGATTGTATCTTAAATACTATTGCATGTAACAAATTAGATAAAATTTACAAAAAGGATGTTTTAGTATTTTTTTTTTGCCAATAGACCTGCAGATCAAGTGCTGCATTAAGCATTAATATCCTGTTAGCCTAGGGTTACTGCATACTTTTAAATTACACAGTAGTATTATTAAACAGCAGAAAGGTCTATCGGCATCAGTTACTGTTTAGCCTGGATGATAAATACAGGAAAGATAGAGCAGAACACTTTACAGAGATGAAACATAATTCTGCCCTTTAGCTATCCAACTCCCACATTTTTACCACTTATAAATGTCAGATTACCATAATGTTTTATTTGGGTTACATTTTTGCTTTCTTCAACTTTCTGTTTTCATGTCACTTTGTTTTAGATTGTATAAGAGCTAAACTCTGGATGCACAAGGAAGCACTAACTCACATAACTGAAGCACCACTTGGAACTCTTCCTGCCTTTCAGTAACATGGTGGTATGTGACTATAATCACAAAAGATGAAGCCACTCTGTTAAGAAGAAAAGCAATGTGTGTGAAAATGCCAAGGTCAGTCTCTGAACCACTCTTACCTGATCACCATGCACATCAAAAAATTGCTTCATTTTTTCTTGCTGTAAATATGTGTAGCTCTCCAACTAAACTGAAAAATGCCACCCTTTCAACTCCAGGGTAAAGAAAGTCCCAGACAAACAAACGTCAAAACCTTCACCCAGTCTCTCTCCCTGAGTCACAGCTCTCCTTCAAGGGTCTGTGTCAGTCTTCCCTGTTGGGCATATAACAACAGCCACCCACGTAGGCTCCAAGAAAAAGGAGAGCTCTTCCTCTCTTGGGAGCTCCAACCTTGGGTCATAAATCGTGAAGTGAGTGGCACATTGACTTGCCAACTTGCCACTTTCTCTCTCTCCCTCATTGTTTACATGGCCACCATCATTGTTATGTCTGAGGACCTCCAAAACATGAATGAATTTAGCCTCACAACACCCATCTGAAATAGGGGAGCATTATCCTAATTTTACAGATGGGAAACTAAGATAGAGTGATTAAGTGACTTGCCCTAAACTACACAGAAATCTGTAGCACAGCTGAGATTTGAACATGTATCTCTCAAGCTGATTCCACAAAACCATCGCTCTCTCCCTCCCTCCACTTTATACATAACCTCTGAATTTGTCCCAGTGAGTCTCAGTTGGTGTAACTCAAATTGAAGGGTCAGAAAAGAAATGTGTACAAAGGCAAACAATACTGGAGGGGAGGAAAGGGGGCATATGAATGTGTGGGTTAAAGCAGGCAACCCCTAATTTAACTCCCACCTCCTCATATAGTGTAAATGAAAACCATTTAAGCTCAAATTTCAGTAAGTACCTGTAAGTAGCTTTAAGGAATCTAAACTGGTGTACAGGAGTCTAACACTACCTTATACGTCAACACTGAATTTGTCCTAAAGACTCAGTAGTAGGCACTTTGAGTGTTCACTGGGTCTATCCTACATTTGCAAATACGGAAAATACCACACATTTAAAAATAAAAAGCTACTAACTTGTAAACATAACTGACGTAACTATTGTAGTTAAAATTTACATTATTTTGTCCTTGACAGGTTTCAAAATTAATTGCCTCTTCTATAAGTGTCTGCAGAATAAGTATCTTATTATGGAGATCAGTTTTCAAGTAGCTGGAACTATGGAGGCTCTCTCAGAGGCAGCTTTGGCTAAGATATAGTCCTTCAACACCTTCCAAACCTAAAAATAAATAAGGCTTTTCATCATCATTTTTAAAAGTACCAGTGCTTTTAAGTTTGGGCATCTGATGTCTAATTCTGATACTAATATTAAAAAGCTGCATGTCCGGATGTCATCTGATCCATTGCAATGTACAATTCCATTATTTGTGGTTTCATATTGATCATAAAATATTTATACTTTTGCTTCTCCTATGAAACAATCATTTTATCAAGGCTACATAAGCTTTTAAAAGGGATACTGACAACTAAAGAATATGCTTATAATCAACTAGAGCAATAGCTGTGGGTGAAACATGAATAATACATGGCCCTCACTCCCTTTCTAATCTCCACATTATAAAGCCTGTATTCCAGAATCCTGAAGGATGATAAATAAAAGAAAATATTTCAAGTAGTGGAAACAGGATACACAATCAGAGACTAGAAAGATGATAATACAATACCCAACCTTTAAAAGGGATCAAAGAAAGAACAAGGAAACTACAGACATGTATGTCTTACCTCCATAATCAGAAGCATTCTAGAGTCACTGATTTCGAGTAGCAGTTTCTACACCACATTCTGGCTCCTGGAGTAAGGGACATGGACAGGAAAAAGTTGATGTGACCCAAAAACTCCAATTCCCTAGGAATTTCCAAACTGCCTTCATGGCTCCTTGGGGCTATTGACAGCTGGCATAAACTAGAGTAGCATGAACATAAGAGACTTTACCAGCAGCTAGGTAGCCCCAGGATTAAGGGAACATAAAGTGGCTTAAATCCTTCTTTGCATACCTTCTATTCTCAGCTGACCTCTCTGATGGACTGCAACCTTGTCGTAGTGGAGAGGCTTGCATGGGCTAAAGACCCTCAGAGCTACATCGTCTGGAGCTTTCATACTCCTGGTAGGGTCCCCCTTGGCAAGCAGGTCTGAGGGGAGTCCAAACTTCACAAGACCCCAACAGTGGATCAGGCGCATATAGAGGACCTTCTAATACTTTGCAGCTATAAAGGCAGATGAGGGCTGTGGCAAGAGGGAGGACCCTGGCTGTCTTGGATCTCCTTGCCATTGGGTCACGTTTTTTCTCCTAACCAGTCTCGTGTGGTTACTGCCTCTACACCAGTTTCCGCATGTTAAAAGATTTCACGCGGAGGCCTCTGCCAAAGGGCTCACACCCACACAAAGTCCTGCGGCAATGGATGAGTGGTGGAGAAGACAGGAGCAGTGATCTCTGGGAGTCTTTAGTCACAAATCTGCATACAGGTGGCAGCCATGTGATGGTCATCTTGTGCTTGAAGGAGACAGAAGTGCATTTCGGCAGCAGCGACTGAACAGGCCTTTTTAAGACCTTCTCTGCTCACTCCAAATGGGGACGGGGCTAGAAAAGGTGCCCCAAACATAGGCTGCCTCAACTCTGCACTCAACTCTGTGGCTGAAACAAGAGATACAAGACAATGAATTTCGCCAACTGTAATGTCCCCTCCCCTATGGGCTCTCAGCACAGTGAATGCCCAGAAAGAATGCCCATAATTGCCAGAGAACTGGTAAGACTCAATATTAACATTACAGCTCTTTGTGAACTCTGCCAGACCGATGAGGGCCAATCAAAAGAGGATGGAAGTGGCTATGCCTTCTTTTGGAAAGGAAAGCCACCTGAAGAGAGACACATTCATAGGATTGGCTTTGCCATCAAAAATAAGATTGCCAGTCAACTTTTGGAGCTTCCTGTATGGATCAATGAGCGTCTCATGACTGTTTGGCTCAAGCTCAGCATCAACCAATATGCCACGGTTATCTGTGCATATGCCCCAACACTCGATGATGAGGAAGACAACAAGGAGCAGTTTTATAGCACTTGTGATACAGTCCCTTTTTTAAGCCTGGTCCTGGCCATCCTGACTTTTTTTTTTTTGGCAAAAGTTAGCATTTGTCCCATTTGCTCTTTCCAACTGATCACTTTGCCAAAAAAGTGGGGCACACACCCCTAACAGAGCACAGAGGAACATGTGGGGGGGCAAGCAGCAATGCCAGCCCTGTGTGGGAGCAGGGCTCCATTGAGTAGGGATGCCAGCCGCATGGCTGGGAGGCAGAATTCAGGTGAACAGCAACAGCTGTGCGGGGGGCAGGCAGGGGTCATGCAAGCGACAACTCCAGCCCCATGCCAGTGGGAGGAGGAGGGCAGTAGCAGGTCTCAGGCAAGGAGTGATGCCAGCCCCAGGAGGCTTATCACCTGCTCAAAGCCAAAATCCAAAGGAGGCTAGGTGACATCAAAAACAAGTGGTAGCAAGAGAAGGCCTCTGAGATCCAGGGTTTCGTAGATCAGGATGACTTGAGAAGCTTCTTTCAAGCAACAAAAGCTATATATGGGCCAAGCTGCAAAGGCCCAACCCCCTTATGTTCCCAGCATGGCCCCACCCTCTTCAAGGACAATGTAGTCATTAAAAAAATGCTTGAAGGAGCACTTTGACAGCCTACTAACCTGCGAATCCACAGTCTCTGAAGACACCATAGAGTTTATTACACAACACTCAGCAATGGGACACCTTGCTGATCTCCCATCTTCTGTGGAAGGCTGGAGTACCATCATCCAGACAAAAAGTCACAAGGCATCAGGCCCAGATGGCATCCTAGCTCAGGTTTTTAAAGCTGGTGGAATAATGCTTCAGCACAAACTCGCCAACTCCTCAACAAAATCTGGACCTACGAAGACATTCCACCTGACTTTAAGAAGGCCAACATTGTTAAAGAGGTATTGCCCTCCTCTCCATTGCAGGGAAGATCCTTACCCGGATCCTACTAAACTGCCCCCTCCGCTTTGCTAAGAAACTCCTCCCCGAATCACAGTGTGGCTTCAGGCCATCCCGAGGCACAACCAACATAATCTTTGTGGCATGACAGATTCAGAAGAAGTGCAGAGAGCAACACTAGAAACTGTTTATGGCATTCATTGACCTAACCCAGGCCTTTGACTCTACCAGTCATGATGCCCTATGGAAGGTGTTGTGTAGGTTTGGCTATCCACAGAAATTCATTTCTATCATGAGACTACTTCATGATGGGATGACTGCCATCATTCTGTGCAACAGCCCAGAGACCAAACCTTTGATCTCTGGTGTCAAGTAGGGCTGTGTCATTGATCCATCACTCTTCTCTAATTACCTTGCCGTGATCCTGATTCTCATCTACGACCACCTTCCTGATGGAACTGGGATTGAGTATTGTATGGATGGCCAATGCCTCAATCTCCGACATCTACAAACAAAATCTAAGATTACAAGAATTGGCATCAGTGATCAGTATGCAGATAACCATGTCATTCTTATACACACAGAGGCCAACCTGCTAAGCACACTAAATTTTTTTGCAGATGCCTATCACAGCCTGGTTCTCTCTCCCAGAGTCGGGAAAAACAAAGTACTCTACCAGCTTTCACCCTGCACAAACTACTCTTCGTACTGCACAAATCACAGTCGGCGGAGAACCCCTGGAAAATGTGGACCATTTTCCATACCTTGGCAGCCACCTCTCCCAAACAGCCAGAATTGACACAGAAATCAAATAAAGGATCCGCTGTGCCAGCACACCAGCACATCCTTTGGAAGACTACTCAAACGAGTCTTCAATCATAGGGATCTGCAAACAGGCACCAAGATCTTGGTTTATAAGGCAATTGGCATTCCCATTCCCACCCTTCTCTGTGTGTGAGAGACCTGGGTAACCTACAGATGACATCTCAAGCAGCTGGAGTGGTTCCAGCAGCACTGCCTCAGGAGGATTCTCAGGATCAGCTTGGAAGACCGACGCACTAACATCAGGATTCTCTCTGCAGACAACATCAGCAGTGTAGAAGCACAAATCATGAAAACCAACTCCACTGGACTGGCCACTGTTTACATATGCCAGACACTTGCCTCCTTCTCTCAGTTAAGTCAGGGAAGACGGGCTTGCGGAGGGCAGTGGAAGCACTTCAAAGACATACTGAAAGTACATCTTAAAAAGGGAAACATGAACCCAATGAAGTGGGAGGACTTGGTGTGGAACAGAACACAGTGGTGCCACACCATACAAGCCACAGCTCATTTTGAGGAGAACAGACGTTCTCATGAGACAGAGAAGTGACCAAGGAGGAAAGAAAGGGCACAATAGTCCAGCCAACAACTATGTCTCTTCTAAGATTAAACCGATCCCTTCTGTGGGAAAATCTACAGGGCACAAACTGGGCTCCTCAGCCACTTAAAAACCCATCAATGAACCCCCTTCACAGACATCATCCTCGCATTGCGGGATAGCCGAATAAGATTATCAGCCGAACTGATTTTTCCTCGGCCACAGTTGAGGGTTTGGATCATTGTGGTATATTTTTAAAGGCATAAAGGGAATCTAGGTTCCTAGTTATGCTTAATATTCATGGAGAGGTAGCTAAGTGCCTTTGAAAAAATCTTTATTATTTTTAGCCATACCAGATTGTACTATGCTCTTGCCAGCTGTCTATAGCTAAGCAGAGTTAGAATGGGTTGCTGTTGGGATGGGAGAGCTCCAAAGAATACCTACCTAGGTACTGCAGGAAGTGATTTTGGTGATCCATACTGTCCGTCTAATCTGTACTGGATGAATGCTGTTTTGGTTTGTTCCAAATCAGTGACTCTAGAATGCTTCTGATTATGGAGGTAAGACATATATGTCTGTAGTTTCCTTGTTCTGTCTTTGATCCCTTTTAAAGGTTGGGTATCATTATCTTCTTTCCAGTCTCTAATTTTGTATCCTGTTTCCTGTTTGATATATTTTCTTTTATTTATCATCTTTCAGGATTCTGGAATACAGGCTTTATAATGTGGATGTTACAAAGGGAATGAGGGCCATGTAATATTCATGTTTCACCCATAGCTATTGCTTTAGTTGATTATAAGCATATTCTTCAGTTGTCAGTAGCCCCATTTAAAAGTTTATGTAGCCTCGATATAATGATTATTGTTTCAGAGGTGAAGCAAAAGCATATTCTTTGTACCATCAGTATGAAACCACAAATAATGGAATTATACATTGCAATTATAATGATAAGTGGTGAGGACCTTGACTATACGTTTCATTCAAAACATGGAGCCACTTGTAACACCATGCTGGGAAGTGGCCCTCTGATTCTGTACTGAACCACTTCCCAGCATGTGGTTCCATCGTTTGAATGCAACATACAGTCAAGGTCCTCACCTCTTATGGTTATTAAATAACCTATGGCACATTTTGGGGGG